TTTCTCTAGAGAGGGGCGCAGATCATCCTGACAGTTTATTTTCTTAAGTATTTCATTTCTCTAGAGAGGGGCGCAGATCATCCTGACAGTTTATTGGGGAACTTCTTCTATTTCCCCTTTAGAACGAAGGGCGCAGATCATCCTGACAGCTTTCTCTTGTTTAGTAACCTCATTGACAATTTTATCTACCAAAACATCAAAACTACCTCTATGACCATCTTCCTTCCATCAGAATCAGAGTACTCACATGAAGTCAAAAGTCAAACACCCCGATATACACACTGGAGTTCTGGAGAGAGAAAAAAATTGAATTCATCATAATTTCTTTTACACAGTCTCACACCTAAGGCGAGGCACTTAGATTCATCTTGGAGGAGTCGTTATTTCTATTGTTTTTGCTCCTGCGTCGAGACTTGTCATTCCATTGATTGGAAGTCTTCCCCCGCCCGCAACCCGGCAACTTCGGGCAAAACACTACCGATTTCGTAAGTCGCTTTCGCACGAGGCCTTTGGCAAGTCTCCACGACATACATCAGCGGACAAGCATTACCTTGTTGTGCAGAAGAATGTTTCTGATTTGAAGCCTGTTCTTGCACTTCGTAGCTACAACCCCAGTGGTGGATCGGAATCCAATCGTACTGCACCTGCCCCTGAAGATTTGTCTCCACCCCGCGGAAATGCGTGATTTCTAGAGGTGTCACCTCTTCCTTAAATCCAAACGCAGTTCGTGCCGCCAAAGTCCGAAACTTCAGCATCAATGGGGTGACGCCCTTGTCACACAGCATTTCGGAATATCCTAGAGGCATGTCCTTTCGCGCAGCATCGCCTTCTGGAAACCCAACAGCTTCAGAAAAGACCAGTTTTAGAGTCAGCTTAATTCCATCTCGGTCCCCCCATCTTGACCCCTTTCGCCTTGTCATGTCATGGAACCTCGTTTGTAGCTGTTCGTGTCTACCTGTGAGGCCATCCAGTAAATGAGTGCCTCCCATCGGAGCGCAAATTTACCGGTTAAATCTTCATATTTTGGCACAATAAGAATACATTACAAGGGAACAAAAGCCGATCAGGATGCCAAGAGAGATGGAAAAAAGCAGACCATAACACTTTGTTCGCGTCCCTATAGTAATTTTGTTGGTCTGCAGCACCAGAAAGCAGCGAACCGAGCCCCTCGAGTTTACCATCTTTGCCAGGTCCGAGCCCACCCGGCAGAAGTCCATTCTGTAAGATTGACGGAAAGTTTCTGGCCACTGTGACTACATCACGTGCCGATCTCTTCTCCTTCTTCTGCCTTATCCCCGTTGTCTTGATTCGGCTTGGATAAAGTTGCTAGCTTCATCGCAGTGATGAAAGCGAAATCGCTACTCTTCTGGACCGCCAGCAGGCGGAGAAAAAGCGACCCCGAAATCATGTTGCGCCGCGAATGTTGGTACGAAGACACTTTTGTGTAGGAGCTGCACAACGTGTGGCTTCGATGTCAAACAAGAAAAAAAGCTCTCGTCAGAGTTCTACTTCTAACTCAATTCTGTAAGTACTTCTGTAAAAGAAGAGAACAACAAACAAGTTGTATGGATAAGAAAAGAGGAAGCTAGAAGACCTAAAAAAGAATGGGTGGGGCTGCTGAGGAGAGCAAAAAGTACTTACACAAAGTAGGAGTTTGATTTCTGCTTCAAGCCTGCCTCAAAAAAGATGAATGCGCAAGGTTGTGGGCGTGACTCGTCATGATAGCCCCCGCTTATGAGAATACTCATTCGTAACTGAGAAGCAGATTACATTTTGATTTCTTCTTACATCCCTCTGAAGAACAGATATCGTTTCTCGCACAACAGATTTTGACTTTGGCAGTTAAGCACGACCGGCCGAAGACAGTTCTCAGTGTTGATAGTTTCGTCACTTTCTCTTTCTATGATCCGACATTGATATCGTCATTGAGTATGCTTGTTGTGCTTGGACGTCGCGCTTGATTGTCTGAGTCTGTGCATGTGTAATTACACAGAAATCAAATAGCCAAGGATTTTGGGTTTGGAATGGTGAGCTCGCCGAAGATTGTGAAGAAGTTGTAGACTGACTCTTTGTCGTATAAGTAGAACGAAGGGCGCGATCTGCAAGCGCAGCGCGCGCGCGCAGTTTGCGGGCGCGGTCTGCAAGTGCAACAACCTGCGCCCGCAGTTTGCGCGCGCATTTTTTTTGCAAGTGCAGTCTGCGCGGGCAGTTTGCGCGCGCAATCTGCAAGCGCAGCGCGCGAGCGCAATGCCCCCCCCCAGCGCAATGCGCGGGCAGAATTTTCCAGGGCAGTTTGTCGGCGCAGTTTGCAAGCGCGCTGCAGTTCGCGGGCGCAGTTTCAACGCGCAAGCTGCGGGCGCAGTTTGCGAGTGCAATTTGCGAGCAAAGCTCCCTCGCAAGCTCAGTTCGCAAGTGCAATTTGCAAGCGCAGCGCGCAAGGGCGTGCAATTTCCCGCCGCAGTCTGCAGACGCAGCGCGCCGGCGTAATTTTCCGGGGGAGTTTGCAGGCACAGCGTGCGGGCACAGTTTGCGGGTGCATTTTGCAGGTGTAGGCTGCGAATGCAGTCTGCGCGCGCCGTCTGCGGGCGCAGTCTGCGGGTGCGGTCTGCGGGCGCAGTCTGCAGGCGCAGTCTGCAGGCGCAGTCTGCAGGCGCAGTCTGCAGGCGCAGTCTGCAGGCGCAGTCTGCAGGCGCAGTCTGCAGGCGCAG